GATGGATGGATGAATAGATAGATAGAGAGAGAGAGAGAGAGAGAGAGAAATGCACTGCGCATACCTATCAACCATTGACTAAACCCCGATATTACGGCCTTATTGCAAAACACAGCTCTTCAACTACCCGCGTTTATACCACAACAGAATTCCCAAGCACTTGAGTTCTCAGAAACTTCCCTCCGCTAGAAATAGAAGAAAAAAGAATAAAGAGAGAGAGAGAGAGAGAGAGAGAGAGAGAGAGAGAGAGAAGAGAGAGAGAGAGAGAGAGAGAGAGAGAGAGAGAGAGAGAGAGAGAATAAAAACAAAGCAAAGCATGAAAAAATGACATTACTTCACCGCTTCTTTCTGATACAGGAAGCCTAATACAGGCCGGGATTTCGACCCGCTTAGCTAAGCCTTCGTCGAAATACACTCGTGTCCTGTAACCTGCGGGGTTTCTTGCGCGACCTGGAGCCTAAACCCCTAACTGTAGAATAACCGCGCCATGTTAATTTTTTATCATTATACAGTGACAGGTTAAAATCACCTCCCGGTACTGTAAAATGATGGCGCCAGGTCAATTTCACGTTCAAATTGACCATCTATTATCATACAGTACCCGTGCTAGATCAAAATTACTTCCCACTGCCACACAGTGACCGTGTCAGGTCAAAATCGCTTCCCACCCCTGTAGAAAAGCGATATGTTAGAAACATGTGCCAGCACTAAACAATGACCCTGCTTGGTAAAAAATCAGCTCACACTACTATGGTCAAAATCTCTTCCTGCCACTATGCTTAACCGTCCTAGGTCAAGATCAAGCCCCGACACTATGCAACATCCATGCGGGCTTAAAACCACGTCCCGCTACAACACAGTGACCGTAGCAGGTCAGAATCATTTCCTACAACTCCATCCTTACTTCTATCGAATAACCGCGCTAGGTCAAAAATCATTTCCTACAACTATAAAATAATCGTACTAGGTCAGACTCCCTTCTTACAACTATAGAACAACCGTGCTAGGTCAAAATCATTTCCAACAACTATAGAATAATCGTTTGCAATAGGTCAAACTCCCTTCCTACAACTATAAAATAAACGTGCTAGGGCAAGCTCCCTCCTTACTACTATGAAGTTACCGTACAAGGTCAAAATCATTTCCAACAACTATAAAATAACAGAGCTAGGGCAAACTCCCTCCACAATTCTGCTCAGTAACCGCACTGGGCCAAAGGCGCGTCCCGACCCTCCGCAGCAACAGCGCCGAGGCAGAATCATGGCCCCAACCACAGAACCGCGACAGGTCAACAACCGCGGACATCGTGCTGGGAACAGAACCTGGACGAGAAAACAGTAACCAGGTCACACTAAGTCAAGAGAGTAGAAGAAAGATAAATAACAAAAAACAGAAGAAAAGAAAAAAAAAACGTGAACTAAGTGGCTCCGAACATTTCACTTGCCCCAGGCTCGGTCCAACCCTTCATCACAAGCTAGGGAAGTCTGCACGCGGTGGGAACAAACTCGTTTTTTTCTCCCTCTCTCTTATTTGTCTATTATGTTCTTTCTCTCTCTCTTCCCCTATCCCTGTCTCTCTCTTTCTCCCTCCCTCCCACTCTTTCTCTCTTTCTCTGTTTCGCTATCGAGCCCTCTATCACTATCTATATAGCTCTCTCTCTCTTTCTACTGCCTATTTCACTTATCATCTGTATCTATTTCTCTTTTCTTCACCCACTCTCCCTCTCTCTCTCCACCGACCGCGTGGACCCGTAACCCAGTGACCTCAGCCATGTGCCCGTGACGTCACCCGTTCAGAGAAATCGAATTCGGACCTTCCCTTCTTCCTGTAATAACCTGCCACTTTCTTTCCCTCATTATCTCTCTTCTCTTTCTTTTTCTGGTAGTATAGAGGAGAAAAAGCCCTCTTTCTAATAACATGGCAACTAAGAATTCAATAATAAGGCAACTGAGACTCCAATAATATGGCAATTGAAAATCCAATAATATAGCAACTGAGAATTTAATAACATGGCTACTAAGAGTCCGGCTTCACAAAACCTCATCTTTTGAAAAAAACGAGGTCATGCACCGAAGTTGTCTGCATGGTACTGCCTGTTGCTGTTTTTTTCGTTTTTGTTTCGTTTTGGGTGGGGTGAGGGGTTGGGAGGGGGAGGTGTCATGCGTGTCGAGTGCTTGGGAACCGTTTTTTTTTTTGTCATGAAGTAAAAAAAAAAGTGGGGGAGGGAACTGCTTCGTGAACGCCTTGGGTGGTGGGAAGGCAAATAGAGGGATTCGAGCTCTTCTATTCGCTGTCTGTCTCTTTCTCTTGATGTTTCTCTTCCTTTCTTTTCTTCTCTTTTCCTTTTTCTTCCTTTCTTTGCTTCTTGTTTTCGTTTTCTTCCTTTTCTTTCTCTCTCCCTCCCCCTCCCCCTGCCTACCTCCCTCTCTCTCTTTCTCTCCCTCCCTCCCCTTCCTTCCCCCTCTCTCTCTCCTGCACTTACACCAATTTGGAAAAAGAAACGAAAGAGTAATGACGCGACAAAGTGCCTGAACACAGTCCTCAATAACGGTTTTACTTCATCATCATCATCATCATCATCATAA